ACACCTGCATACACACCTGTGTTTGAGTAATCTACAGTGATTCTTATCTGAACCATGTTTTGTTTGTGACTCATCACGTATGTGATGCTCTATGACATCATGCTGATTGTCAGAAAATACCAACAACAGCGAGCTGCGTGCATTTTAAAAGAGAAACTGTGTCAGGCAGTTGTTTTCTAATCATCCAGTGTGCCCCTTGGTACTTAATGAGGCAGATTTTAAATGTCTAGCTCTCTGCAGTGCAATGCCTTTGTGCTTGGAAGTCTTTGAAGAGGAGGTCTCTCAACATGTGTTGTTCCTCTTATATGTTGTGGCATCTGGATCTTGTAACGGGTTATTCATTCTTGTGTTGCTTGTGTTCTATTACCACAACCTTCAGTTCTCATAATCTTCAGCTGAGCTTTTAACCTCCTTTTCCATTTACTTCCCAGAGCATTCACAATGAAGAAGCCCTGTCCAATGTGTTGTTTAGTTAGACCCCAGCAAGCAATGGCCGTCATTTCACCATCTATGTTAACTATAGATCCTATATACAGGTCCTTCTCAAAAAATTAGCATATTGTGATAAAGTTCATTATTTTCCATAATGTAATGATACAAATTTAACTTTCATATATTTTAGATTCATTGCACACCAACTGAAATATTTCAGGTCTTTTATTGTTTTAATACTGATGATTTTGGCATACAGCTCATGAAAACCCAAAATTCCTGTCTCAAAAAATTTGCATATTTCATCCGACCAATAAAATAAATGTTTTTAATACAAAAAAAAAAAGTTAAAAGTTAAAGTATCCTTTTGCAGAAATGCCTGCTTTAATGCGGCGTGGCATTGAGGCAATCAGCCTGTGGCACTGCTGAGGTGTTATGGAGGCCCAGGATGCTTCGATAGCGGCCTTAAGCTCATCCAGAGTGTTGGGTCTTGCGTCTCTCAACTTTCTCTTCACAATATCCCACAGATTCTCTATGGGGTTCAGGTCAGGAGAGTTGGGAGGCCAATTGAGCACAGTAATACCATGGTCAGTAAACCATTTACCAGTGGTTTTGGCACTGTGAGCAGGTGCCAGGTCGTGCTGAAAAATGAAATCTTCATCTCCATAAAGCTTTTCAGCAGATGGAAGCATGAAGTGCTCCAAAATCTCCTGATAGCTAGCTGCATTGACCCTGCCCTTGATAAAACACAGTGCACCAACACCAGCATCTGACATGGCACCCCAGACCATCACTGACTGTGGGTACTTGACACTGGACATCAGGCATTTTGGCATTTCCTTCTCCCCAGTCTTCCTCCAGACTCTGGCACCTTGATTTCCGAATGACATGCAAAACTGAGCAACAGTCCAGTGCTGCTTCTCTGTAGCCCAGGTCAGGCGCTTCTGCCGCTGTTTCTGGTTCAAAAGTGGCTTGACCTGGGGAATGCGGCACCTGTAGCCCATTTCCTGCACACGCCTGTGCACGGTGGCTCTGGATGTTTCTACTCCAGACTCAGTCCACTGCTTCCACAGGTCCCCCAAGGTCTGGAATCGGTCCTTCTCCACAATCTTCCTCAGGGTCCGGTCACCTCTTCTCGTTGTGCAGCGTTTTTTGCCACACTTTTTCCTTCCCACAGACTTCCCACTGAGGTGCCTTGATAAAGCACTCTGGGAACAGCCTATTTGTTCAGAAATTTCTTTCTGTCTTACCCTCTTGCTTGAGGGTGTCAATGATGGCCTTCTGGACAGCAGTCAGCAGTCTTACCCATGATTGCGGTTTTGAGTAATGAAACAGGCTGGGAGTTTTTAAAAGCCTCAGGAATCGTTTGCAGGTGTTTAGAGTTAATTAGTTGATTCAGATGATTAGGTTAATAGCTTGTTTAGAGACCCTTTTCATGATATGCTAATTTTTTTGAGACAGGAATTTTGGGTTTTCATGAGCTGTATGCCAAAATCATCAGTATTAAAACAATAAAAGACCTGAAATATTTCAGTTGGCGTGCAATGAATCTAAAATATATGAAAGTTTAATTTTTATCATTACATTATGGAAAATAATGAACTTTATCACAATATGCTAATTTTTTGAGAAGGACCTGTAGTCTGGCTATGAGTAACCCACTTCTAGCCAAAATAACATCGAATTTTGTTGCATCTCGTTTTTGCCAAAATAACTTGCGAGATGTATGATATTCCACCATGTAAGCAAAGTCAACGGTGATAACAAGGCGTTTGGTTTAATTTCTTTGACATGTTCTATGCATAGCCTAGACTATGGTTATACATCTATTAAATTTTCACTGACTGCCCAGATTTTGCCTTGTTTTAGCCAGACGTCAGGGCTGTGTTTGGACTGCTATTAGACGTCTTTTAAACTCAAAATTGCTTGCTGGGAATGGTTGGTCTTAAAGAAATATTCAGGGTTTCAGGCAAGTTAAGATCAATCAACAGCTCTTGTTGCATAATGTTGATTTACCACAACATTTTTAACTTTCCTCTCCTTTTCTTAAAAAACTGGATTATAGTGTGGCATTTACAATTGCAGTGAATGGAGCCAATCCGTAAATCCTAAAATATTCTCAATAGTACAGCCACAAGATAAAACAATATAAATGTTAACAAGATTTTTGTGTGATAAAGGAAATCAATTATAGTTATATCCAATTTTATAACTTTGTTGCTGGGACAACATAGTGGCAAAAATGGTAAAAACGATTCTAAAAATGACGAGAACAACCTTATAGCTAAAATAATACACAAGTTTTAAAAGATAAATTAATACAAGTGTTCTTATGAATGTAGTTGCTTGACATTTTTGTATTATAAATGCAAATTTATTTCCATTTACTTTTTTTACTTTTATTTATTTTGTGGTAATCAACATTGTCATGTTGTTGATCGAATTAACATTGAAATGCTGTTGATTGAGCTTAACTTTGAACTGTGAATATTCCTAAAAGGAGACTGTAAAAAAAAAAAAAAAATTATTGTGTTATTATCAATACTTATTCGTTCAAGTCAGTCTAATTCCAAGACATCCCCTTGGTGTTAACTTAAGTTCTCAATTCTACTCAAGCAATGATTTCCTTCTCTGACATCCTTCTCATCTCCAAGCACGATGGTGCTGCATAATGAAAAAAGAAAAAAAAGCCTTTCAGGTGCCTCCACTGTGGCCTTATTCGGTGGTTCTCTGTCTGTTATCAGCCCTTGAGGAGAGTTAATTGCCCCGGTCAGTCTGTGCCCCGTTTTAGCCATAGATGATGAAGTGTGAGGCTACATTTCTCACACTGCACAAAATGTGAGATGTTGTACACAAGCCAGATGCAGGTCAAACACTTTAGTGGGAGTCCCATCTGGGCCATGGACTGATTTACTGTACTGTGTCATACAGTAATTATCACAACATGTTCTCTTTAGCGATAAAATGTCTGTCAAGGAAATGAATATTAATGTAAACGTATTACATTGTGGATATAATGAACTGTGAGTGGATTAGGAGAAGAATTTTGGGGTTTGGTACCGCAGGATTGATTGGCACATTAGTCGCCTCAAATGAACTGGTTCACCAAAGCGGGCCCAAAGGAATGTGGGTGAATGTGCTAAAAGACGTGAACTTTGAACCCTAGTACGGCATGAAGGGAGCTGAAGAAGGAGCCGAATGAAAGAGAAATCTTCGTCTTGTTTGGGGTTGAAGTGCTGTTTGTGGACTCTACATTGTGAGTCACTGAGCCATTCCATTTAATGGAGCTACACAACTTCCTGCAGTTCCCCTCATTGTGCTGCCAGTATTCTGTAGATCAAAACAAGTATCGACTGCCTAAATCACTCAAAGAATCTGTGCATTTTATTGGTCGGGATGGGAGTACATACATAGGCCTTGCTCTTTGTGTCATTTAAACATTTAGATTGTTTCCCCTAGATAAATGAAGCAAATGAATAGTAATTGTTTACCAAGTTGAACTTTTTTTAATTTGCTGTAGGAGGATTTGAGGGTTTGGGATTTCTCACTTTTTATTGCCTTCATCTCTCAGCTTTTAAAGACGATTAACTGCCATAAAGAGCTGACTTGTCCTTCTCCATAGACTCTGGTCCTATATAAAGTTAATTTATGGCAAGGCTCTGCAGGCTTGTATTGTGAACTCCTGTGGGGTCATTGTACCCTGTTTAGTCACCTTACTCTGTGGACTATGTAAAAAAGCTGTGAATGAGTTCTTGAATATATCTCTGCCATCCACAAAAAATGTTTGCATCTTTTTTTGTTAATAAAAACCACTCTGGGTCAGTATTTCAGCACGAAGCCTGTAAGTAATAAAACATAAACGTGGTGATAACATCTGTCAGATACAGTTCTCTTTTATTTATTGACGTTGTAACTTGAATGTTTCCTTAATAAAGGCCACATTAAAATATAGGCTTTGGTGCTACACTGAAAATTTCTCTTTGTAAGAAGGGAAAAAAACTTTTATTAAACGTAAAAAAATTTGTTGCCGAAGGAATTGTTTATCTAGACGTTAAGTTAAATATCATTTTTATGTGGAAAACAATAGCTGTAGCGGTTCAGACGAGATTCTGGAGTATTATCTTTGGATAGGGAATTTAATTGGCATTATTAGGATAACGGAAACATGTTGACTCAGATATAATACAACATTTACATTGGATTATATTCCACTCTGTATGGGTTTTGTAGATCTGCTGGAGAAGATTGGGACCACAGAAGCTGGCAGTCCAAAGTCCGGTAATCTCATAAAGACATGCAGTTTTTCTGTGCCAGCAGTAATCTATAATTCATGAAAGAAGTGAATGAGCGAGCCGGTTTCTGTCAATCACAGTCTCCGTTTTTTCATGTTATTCTCCTGCATTTCCAACCTTCCTCAGTATGCATCGCACTCGATGATTGAAACAGGTGCTTCCCTCAAGGCCTATCAGAACTGCTCCATTTATAGATGAAAATTAGATTGTTTTTTCCCCTCTTATTGGTTACTCATATTCTGTTCTGTGCTTATTGTTGCTTTCAGGCTATTGCATTGGTACAGTAATGTCAAACTGACCTTGCTCTAAAATGGCATGGGCCCCTTATGGGAGAGACGGGGTCGAGGGCGTCTCCTCCTCCAGCCAGAGGGTCTTTGGCTCCGGCCGGCTCGAGCGGTATTCTGCCGTAAAGGAGTCCTCATGCTGCCCACCTCCTCCAGCTCTTTGCTATGCTCGGTGGAGGCCATTGGACCTGTGGACAGAAAAGGTACATGTGAATTCTGAAACCCAACATAAAATGATCAAATGGATCAAAGTATCTTGGTCACTTTGGTTAAACTGAATTGCAAAAAACAAACAACCTTTTTTCCAGTGGTTGGATAAAGACTTAGCCCCGCCCCAAAATCACAACATTTGCAGAGCCAGAGTTACATATTAAAAATTTCACTGTTAAGAAACTTTATTAGCATAATTTATTGCTGCAAAAAAACTACCAGAAAGTCCTTCAGCACTGTCACGTACACTGTTTACATGCACATCTTTGAACTTATCACATCATACGAGGAGTATCTGTCTCAAGAACAATGGAGAGACGCATGTCCTGAACTTATATTTGTCTGTCCGTCTGTGCACTACGCTGCTCGCTTGTTAGTGTGCTCAGATGTTTCCAGTCATCTCTCAATAAGTGCGAGTAGATCCTTTAAACCGTCTCATATCCACAGCTTGATGCACATCAGTGCGTCTCTAACCTCTAACCTCTTTAGAAAAATCAAACAAGTCCTCCGGGGAGAGCAAACATTCTGGGAGGTTTTGGGGAGACCTTGATCTGTGCAGCACTATCTGATGTCAGTGATCTCCCATTCAAGTCCTGAATTGGCTTTCTAAGGGTGTTTTGTTTGAGTTCATCATAGGTATTGGATGTCTTTCCATGGAAAGTTCCTAGTCTTCCTAATGACAGAAGCAAGAATCAGTGAGTCCCGTCTTTTTTTTCTACATTATTGAAGGGGATGAATGGGAAAACAGTCAAAACACACTTGGTCAATCATCAGTTATGTTTCCCGTTTCAGTCCACTGCTCTCCAATCCTTCATTCCATATATACACATGCCATACTATCCTCTTTCCGCTGAAGCTCATGAAGATAATTCACCAAAATCTTCCAAATTCATCTCCCCTTTATGCATACGTCTTTCTGCCTTTTTTGTCTATGTTTGTCTACGCTGCCAGAAATGTCTTAAAAAAGGAATCTTTCAGTGAGAGCTCAACAAATGCCTATCCTACAGAGTAAACAGAGAATCCTATTAACCTTTCCCAGCAAGAACTTGAATGAGATTATTCTCGTTGGGTCAAGACATTCCCAACATCTCCCTGCGGAGTGACAGACAACCTAAATTAAGAAGACAACAGGGAGCAGATGTTTATTTTTTTAAATATCATAGTACAAACAATTCTTGTAAATTAAACAAAAAAGTTAGTGTAAGATTGAGCTCAATTTTAGACCTTCTAGACATATTCTTGTTTTGGAACCTTGGTAGCCGGTTTCTAGCTTTTTTTAGCTAGTCCAGGCTAATAGACCAACTTCGAGCAGCTGGTAGAGAAGCTAGAAACCTGCTTGGACCAGGTAGAAACAAGGTCCAAGCAAAACACATCTATTAGCTTAATATGGATTTTTCAACAGGAAAACGCAAATTAATAACTAATAGCTAACAGCTGTTTTCTCTTTATAACAGTCTGGGGGTTTTTTTCACAGAGAGGATCAAGCAGCTAACGGCATACGATTTGAGTTGGTAATCATACAGCCTTGAAATTACTTAAATCTTTGACGGTTAGTACATGTAGTGACTGGACGACGTGAGGCCAAACACGTTGCCCGTAAGTCTGCTTATGAGTTAAATATCCTCAAACTATATTTTTTAAATTCCTGACAGCTCAAATTACATTTACAAACTAATCGCCTTTAGCTGACACATTCACAGCGGACTTATTCGGCGAACAGTGGACTAATTCATTTGCCCCACAGAACGACTTCATTGCATACTTCAACATCTCATGGAAAAAGGAAACCACGCTAAAACCCATCTATCCACCAGGCCTGCTAATCCGAGCATTAACCTCCTGTTATTTCTCCACAAATGAATGAAGCAAGTTTACACATTCTGTCTGCATTCAAGTCATTTCTTTCTAATCTAAGGGGTTTAACATTTAAAAAGTCTCCATGTGATCAGAAATTTCCCCCACCCGATTGGTCCTTTAAAACACTCAGGATCAGCTGTGAGAAACAGGCCAGAAGTCTTTTTGCTTTTTCAGTACCATAATCACTCAACCCAATATATTGTTCTCTACAGCGTGAGGAATAGTCTTGAAATGTCTCTGAGGGGGCAAAAACGCAATGTTTTTCGGCCAGGCAGGCAGAAGTGGCTGTAATTACACCTGGCTGAGCTGAACGCAGCACATCGCCGGCGCCGCAGCTCTACTATCAGCGCCTGTCATGAACCTCTCCATAATGACACAATTTAGATGTTTCCTTCCATCACCATCTGACAGGCAGCGTTTGCTGCCCGCTTAGCTTTGAGGGGAGCAAATCGCTCAGAAAATTGTCATCCCAGGCAAACAAGAAGAATGCTGTTAAAAATTATCTCTGGTTTTAATAAGAACAGCATTTATGAATCAACTCAAGACATGCATTGGATTGATGAAGAGGGAGGTCTATTTTAAGCACTCAGAATCACTCCATTGTCTGTTTTACGACTCTTGGCTTCTTCTTTATCTGCATAGCTCCTTGTGTGACTCTGCGGGTCGTATCTTTCCACGCTTCGTGGCGAATACAAAGTGACAGGAGCAATAACCGTGGATATACTATAATAGATGGCATATGCTGATGGGATCTTTCTCTAACTTGCTGCTTGTTTACCAGACCCACTCAGGGATGAGAACGCTCTAGCCCCCTTATTGCATTAGATCTGATGGCGCTGATAGTGGGCCTTCTCACCAACATAATTTCTTCCAGGTTCACCACCTAATGACAAGCAAGTCAGGAAGTAATATTCCACTTGATGCTTCTCATGATACCAGCAGTCTTATCCGAAGACGGCAAACTCTTAAAGTGAAAGTTCAACCAAAAATACATTAAATCTGTAATCATTTACTCATCCTCGTGTCGTTTCAAATTTGTATCACTTAATTTTTCTGTGGAACACAAGAAAGACCTGTCTCAGTTTTTAATTTTTTTAAAAAAAAATTGTCCACACAATGAAATTCATTCAGGTCCAGTGTTGATTTGGACGTCTGGACCTCCAAATCAACATTGACATTCATTGTATGGTAAAAAATGTGGTTTCTCTGAATGTGGCACGTAATTATATTACTGGTATTTTGGTTGTTGTACGTATTGCGGCACGTATTCACAATTTTAAAATAATGTACCACCTACATTAAACGCTGCCCTAAACCTACTGTAACTGACAGTCTGAGCAAAAGCATATGTGAGATGAAAACGCATTTGCTAAATTAACCATGCCATACTTCTACAAGTCTTTGATTTCTTTTAGTAAGTGTTGTGACTTGTACTTGAGTGCAGTGCTATACCAGGTGAGCTACCAAGCACGTTTACTGCATCAGGAGCTCGTTATGTGATGCAGATGTCAAAATGTACTAGTTTACAAATCATGCATTATGGTACATAATTGTACAATGAGCCACACGCACAAAAAAAAACTTTATTAATTGATAATTTGTCCCTGTAATCATAATTTGTGTGAAAAGGAATAAAAGTTGTTGCCGTTTTACTGCCACTAGTGCTGAAAACTGCAGTGAATTGTATAGTTATGTTTTTGAAGTTTTAGGCCGTGCCTATGCTGAAATTTTCATTTCATGGGAGGCGTTTGATCGAGTTTAAAAAAGTGGGAATTCTGGCACACTAAAATGCTGAAGTCACCACAGCTTGCTCACACGGAGATGGTGGCTTGACAGGAAGTGTTCAGATTGGTCAAATTCATCCAGGCTAATGATAAATAGCCAGATCGTTGCCATCTCATCCTCTAGTACCACACTCCTTAGGTTCATCCATTATGTTGACTTTTTAACACGACTGCCTCGCCGTGCCTCGCCTCCGCTGGACACCTTGTGTCTGATAGTGTGTCCCTGTAAATCCCAGGGCTGCCTCTTAGCCGAGAGAGTTATCCATCACCCAGCACTTTCCTGACAGGGAGAGAGAGGCCCAGGCTAGGCAACGTTTATAAAGGGCCGAGCTCAATCTGATGAATAGTTCACCGAATTTCTCTGACTGGCCTAAATTTACAATATACTCCCTGTGCAAACACACAACACGAAAAACAAAGAGCCGAGGCTTCCAATAGATATAAAGTTTAGGCTAGTAGGAAGACCTTTTAAACTCGGGGCACCAGATGGATCTAATCTTTTACTCACTACTCCAGGAAGTGAGAGATTAGATCTACTTACACGCAAAGCAGAACCAGGTGAGGAGAGGGCAACACTTATTTATGGCTGGTTGTACTACATGCATTATCTCTGCTTATACATTTGCCCTTCTAGCACCTCCACCACGTCCCATCCTAAATCAACCAAATTCAACGACCAATCAATGTGAAATCAAAACCGTCTTGCTTGGTTAGTTTTGTTTGCACAACGTTATATAGGAGCATTGATTTGTTTGTCATTGCTTACAGAATATTCTGCTTGACGTACCCCATCTATTTATTGTGGAGACATGGATGCAGCGGTGTCTAGGTGTTTGTCTGACATCCAGCCTTTCACTCTCTCCACAGCTTGAGACTGCAGTCATAACAGCTCTTGTAAGGGCGTCTCCACAAACATGCATAATGGAGACCGGCAACGCAGCCACATCATAAGTCAAAGGTGACACAAAATGTTATGGAGGTTTGTGTATTTTCTTATCTTTTGTTTTTAATAGCAGCCTGAAGCTAATGAGGTTTTGTGTGTGGCTCTATCTAAAGAATTAGAGCATGTCTAAACAGATCCTGTTTATACTGTACTTCAAATGTAAAAAGTTATCAGGCCTTTAGATGACATTGAGTGTGCTTTCGTGCATCTTACACTTAATAAGCAGACAATGTGTAAGGTCATGTATGATCTGTGATTTATATGGGTATGGCTAGATAAAGTGTGGTGTTAGAAGACATGCATACAGTGAAAACAGTGAAACGTAAATATTATTCTTTATTTTTTAGGTTAATAGAATATTGAATTCATGGAAGTAATAAGTAGATTTTATTGTTTTTAATCAGTGAAATATGATATACCAAATATATTTTAAATAAAAATGTAAAATGTGTCTGTACAAATTTATAATATAAAGTATTCATAATGGTTTTAAGCTGTGTATATGTAAATACATTTAGAGCACTTTAGATGTTTGTTAATATTTACAGAAATGGCCAAACATACAATAATATATGTGCAAACATGACGTACAAATACCTATAAATACTAATGAGATCAGGCTGGTCAGAATTTTTTTCTGTTAGGCCAATTAGCCTCTCTGTTCTGTGTCCTGGTGGCTTACGCAATGCATGCACATCTTGTATGCATATCTGTCTATGTTTCAGAGAAACCAGAGAAAAAAAACAAATGATTACAATTTTTCTTCTATTATCTGTTTTTATAATAAGCTTATTTCTGATAGTTGTCATCATGTAAACTCATTAATTGATGCTCGGTTGCACATTACACACAGAAAGGTGCAGCGTTTTTGTTGTGTGTGAGGCCAAAAATTTCCAAAAGCATTTTGTGAATGACTGTTGGTACTTTGTTTTGCCTTGCATATGTGCAAGAAGAGGCGTGGAGTCCCATGGGGGTGTAACCATGGCTGACGGTGACGTCAGAGGCGTGATCCCTAGTGTCTCAGAGGACATTCATTCAATGAAATAAGAGAGAGAGATATCTCCACACTTAGCTGCTTTTTTTCCCCGCCACACACGCAGGCATGACAATTTGATGCCCGCTAAGACTATCCTTTAGCTAGTCACACTTGATCATGAGCATTATGCTTAGAATGAGACACGTTAATTAGCATGAAACCCCAGTCTGAATCACTTGCCTAGCTCATAAATAAGACCCTGTTGCACTAAATTTCCTAACAGTGTGCTATTATCTCACTAAATATACTACTTCTGATATGGAAATGATGTTAAAGAAGCCAGTAAGACTCCCCGAGCGGCGTCTTAAATCAGCAGCCTGGCCTTTTGAAGCCTGGAGTCGCGGCTCTGCTTATCGCATGCCTACCAGTAGTACAGGGCCTTGGCATAAACTGGTACCAGTCTCTAACGTACTCTCAAACCACGTTTCCATGGCAGCCGCTGTGAAAGGCACTCACTGAGGAGCAAGAGAAATGACATTGTCAGCTGGAATGGATCAGGTTTCCCAGTTTACAAATTTCAGCACAGGTCCATTAATAGGTGGAGGTAGGCAGTAAGATTGCTTAACCCTTTCCCAGGCCAGTCGTTGTATTTCATCACATCGGGGGCTGTTTGATATTCAGCATTGTGCTGCTGTGATAGCACGCGGCTTGCAGGAGAAAATGAAGGCCTGCATTGTGTTCTGCAACTCCGCAGAGGAACAAAATCGCATGAAAAGTTCACAGACTTTCCCACACCTCCACTTTGAGCTCCATTACTGAAAATAAGAGCAGCGCTCTGATAAAAGTGGCTGAAGCTTCTTGTCACTGCTCTTTTCTCTGATCGTTTCTGACACCCTCAGATGGTGTGCAGCCTTGCAAGCAAACTACACATGACCCAAATTAGCGCTAAGCTATAATAATGTGGTTAGAAATGGCCCGGTTCCGAATGATCAGAGAGCTGCAGGTTCAAAGCGCTACGGCTGCTGCCTTGACTGCTAATGATGTGTTGAGAGAAAGAGAAAAGACGGGAAAAAAGGGGAGAAGGCTGATTAAGACTTGCTCAAGCTCTTGCACCAGCACTTTAGACTGGTAGAGGTGAATCACTGGGTAGAGGTTACTGCAGGTTGGACATTTAAGTACAAGAAAATCAAGAGAGCCGATCAAGCAAAGCATCTTAAGTGCAATTTCTTCTGAATTGGCTTCCAGGGTAAAGCAGCATGCCGTCTCAAAGAGGATTTACCTCTGAGGCGGGCAGCAAGGGCGATCGAGACCCGAATATTCTCGTCAGCAGTGATGGGCTCAAACTCAGCATGTTGGTAATCGTCAAGAAAGTGCTAGCTCTTTAGCTACGGGATGCTCCGGCAGTCTATTTCCAAGGGCTCTCTAATCGGTAATGAACCACATCCACCCCATACTATTGTGCTGTCAGCTGTGAGCCCGCATGCATACTGTCTTTAAAGTGGATGTGTGATGGTATAGCTTCAATTCTCTTGCTTTGGGGCCAGTGCCTTGCTACTGAAAGGAGTGTCAACCGGTGCATGCTGGGATATTTCCAGCTGAGATCACACTAAACAATCAGTCATGAAAAGACACATATGTGTCATATGGATGAGAATGGACTGATGAAGCATGATTAACAGCTCAGATGTGAATGGCTTCTTGTGTTGTGTGATGGAGTGTTTTTGTTTAAGAAAATTTGCCCTGGTTCTCACAGTAACGTTGTGAGTCAAGTTACAGGCCATATTTAATTACTGACAGTTAATTTACCTTTTTTTGTTTATGTATGTTGGTATATTAGCCACAGTGTTTAACCAGAATAAGATTAAATGTAAAGCTTCACAATCTTTGAGTAAACTCTCTGTCTGAATTGTATATGTATTTACAGAATCCGGTTCCAATTGCATGCTAGTTTAACAAACAAGACTTATTCATTCAACATGATGTTTTTCTCTAGTATGCTTTTTGTTTCCTTTGGGATATAAGACATGATATAAACTATCATGCATACCTCATTTGTTCTATACTGAAAGACGGGAATTTATATAGCATGATAAGATTTGCTTTGACACATAATATCTTTCAGTTTTGAATTGTTCCTTCTGGACATTTTAAAAACTATTTCCTATCAGCTGCCGTGTCTTTACAACAAATTGGATGACATTCAATATACTTACCAGAATTGGTTTTAGCTTCATAAGCAATAAATGTATACTTAATTTACATTTAATGTGCATTGCCCTCTATCAAAGAGATCAGAGAATACACTGAGACTTGAGTTTTTATTGGCGGTATAAGATTTAGTGCAATAAAATTGAAGGCATAATAACGCATATCTTGTACCTTGAGGCTTGGAATTATGGGTAGTCCCAGTGGGGGAATCAGTAAAGTGTTCCAAAAACTCTTGAACACTTCTCATAAACAATCCAGTCAGTTTCTCACATCCATACTGCTCGGAGCAATAAGAGCCTCGCCTCTGTGTTTCTGAACAGATTTAGTGAAGTACCCACGGCAGAAGCCTTAAATCAGGCTAATGGTTTGATGTGATATACTTCTGAAATAATCTGGGAAAGCTCACAATAGAAGTACAAACAGCAATGTGCTATTTTTCTGCCATTAACTGCGAACAAAACCGGGCCTGTGTGCTGCAAATGTGTTTTTCATTTTTTGGTCTTCAAATTGAGCATGAAAATAATTAAAGCACATTTATTCCTCTACTTGAAATATTTATACAGCATTTTGCCTTGCTGTTCATAAAAATGTCCACTCTGATCGTATCTGATCAGCAACCACAATAAACGTAATGCTTAATATTTGAAAAGGGAGCTATAAATCAGGTTAATATCGGGCCCCTGTGGATGCAACTATAGGCGTTCGATATATCTGGCTTTAATTAAAAAGTTGGGGAAAGAGGGAGATTTTGGGGGTGTTGAGGGAATATGTTTTCTGATGTTTAGAAGAAGGGGCCTAGCTAATGGTTTGTCAGCTTGCTTGTGGGTACAGGAGGCATGTAGCTAGCCAGATGCAGAAGTGTGATTCTGAGAGAGAGCAGTGAGCAAGCATCCATTTGAAGCAATTTTTGCACAGGGCCCTTTATATTCCCCGCATTTGTCCAACTGCAAATTCGGGAAGACCACCAGCTGTGAAGTTTTAAAGACCTTTTAATATTTTAGCGGCTGTGTTCCTCACCACATCAGAAGCCTGTATAATCGCTTTTTTCTTTTCTTTCTCCTCCATCAGCACCCTTCAGGATTTCTCCTCTGCAAGTCTGATGGTGGAGGTGATCTGATATATTCAGAGTGCTCTGAATTGCATTATGCTTGCCTATAGCAATCATACATGTCAAGACATCCACCGTACTGCAACTGGGGAGCTTTTCTCAAAGGTTACCCTATGTCTTTACCACATGAGTTATAATAGAGCTCAGAAAATGTACTCTTGTTTTATAAAGGGCACTGTTTTATTGGTTCTGCTCAGCCGGAAAAATAACCACTTCCACAGCTCCGAGCAGATATTTATGAAGTATTTATAAAATGGTGCAACAAGTTGGCAGAAACTGCAAATTACCCTTTGCTTGATCTGTTTGAATGGGCATTATTTATGTAAAAATAAATGTCAGCATGTACATTAATATAAAGTAGTAATTGTTCAGTGAATAGATCACCTTCATGCCATTCCTACATGAAGTGTTCACACTGCTCTTTTCCTTTGCTCTAATCTCCAAAAACAACAGGCACTATAGAGATATACTGTAAAAAAAGGTCCATATGAAATGAAATTTGAAATTCACTGATAATTTTCTTCACCGCAGCTCATTCATGTTATGTAAACATGGTGCATTTGCACATATTAAACATATGCACATATTCCAATTGCACAAAAGAATTTGTGTGAATGACATAACATTTAGTCTTTTTATTTAAAGTGAAGTATATAAAGCTTTCAGAACACTTGAAATTCAGCTTACAAGTCATATGGATTACTATTATGATAATTTTGTGGAGTTTTGTGTTCATTTTTGTAGTTTGACAGCATTGTCTGTTTCATTGCATGGGGATAAAACACTACCTAACATTTTCATTTGTAGTCAGAATCGGAAGAAAATCACATGAGTTAGGATTGACAGGAGGGTGAGTAAATGATGTTATTAATTTATATTTTCAAACTGGTACATCACATTGAACTCTTCTTTATAGTTTATTTGCATATCTCTGACAAATCACACTGCAGTCCTTACAGTGAGGCCATAGAGGATATCCAGGTTACTCATAAAATAGATCTGAGTCACTGACCCTCTGTATGTGTGTGAGCATGTGCACGTATGTGTGTGCATATGCATGCTTGTGAAAGAGATAGGGACTCTGCCAAAAATCCATCATGCCTCAAAGCACCGCTGAATGATTCTTCATAATCCTGTGATGACCTTTCTGTATTGCTCATCTCCTTCCTGCTGCTTTGACACTATTATCATGTTATCGCTGGACATCTGGAAAAGTTTGCCTTTTTGTGTTCTCTCCATGGCCACTATAATCAAGTGCGTAACCGCAAACACCTCCTTCACATTAAGTGAACTCATGGAATTATGATTTAATGCTTCCTGCATGCTTTTAACACATGGCCACTGGTGTTATTTCACAAAATATCCTGATCTGTCCCCCGTTTTTTCTAAAAAGAAACATTGTGTGGCTGAAGACTTCCTAATGAGCTTTATATTTGTTTTGCAGGGGTCTTACGCTGACCCAGGACAAGCCCACGCACAATCTCCAATGCTACCTCAAAGTTTAATACCGAATAATAGCGTTGTTGACAGCTCGCATGAAATCGCCCTTTTCCAAAGAGCTGATTTCAAACAGATAATGCCCGAGATCTGATCTCCACACCATCACCTGGACGAAGAGGACAAACCAAGCAGCTAAAATTACACCATCTCAGGACTTCTGTGCGTGTATGTGTGTGCGTGTTTGCTCTCAAGACTGTATTTTTGAAAGGATTTATCCCGCGCTTCCGTGACTTTGAAAGATGAAGCGCCGATACCGGACTCGGACTGACAACCCAGAGTGGCTGAACTGTTTCCACAATATGAAGTGTTTACATACCAGACTTGAGAGTGGAAGACAGATTGCTTTCAGGATGAATTATGAGTGGCTCAATGCGCTCAAGATTTGCCCATTCTTGAGGGGAAGCCCATTACAAGAAGAGCAGATTGAGGTATGCGCAAACGAGATTAGCAGGGCCGCAGCCGTTCTGCTGGGTGACGTTCAATGCCTGCGGATGGCGAAGCCGCTGTCGCCTGTTGCACCATGACTTCTCTGCGTCCCCACCCTCTTTCAACCTCAGAGAAAGCAGTGCGCAGATCATCCCCATTGTACAGTTGAGACGGATGGCAATTTCCAGCAAACTCCCAGTGTACTGGAAAAGCGTTTGTCTGAAGATGAAAGGCTTCACACCCGCTGCCTACACACCGAGTCGCTTCCAACACCTTCCCGCGACAGCGCGCAGCTCCGGCTCCCCGCGGCTCCCTCACCCCCATCTCATGATGGAGATAATACTATACTAATAGCGCAAACAAGGCAGTCTGACCTGGATTACACGTTAGTAGCCTGCCCTTCTAAAGATCAGGCTCAGGCTCCACACACATACAGGAAGAGTGAAAAACGACACTGACCGTAATGCAAGGTAATTGCTTCCCATTTACTCGTGCAGAGACCAAAATAGCAGCATCTCTGTAACAAACGTGTGTGGAAACGCAGGGCGTAAAGGGCCGTTTGATACGGCAAGTAGCCACTACCCAGCACCCTTCAACATGCACACAATCTCAAACACACATGCTTCCCAGCAGTTGGACTTTAGAGAGATGTGAGCGTTTACACAAGGGCCACAGTTGTTTTTTAACACAACCCTGTTACCTGCATCACATCTGCAGGGTGGCCACCAGTCACCTGACTCGAGCTCACAGCTTTAAGACTTGCATGTCATCTTTGATAAAAGGTTTTATTGTGGAGGTAGATGAAAGATAACATGATGTTTGAGCAAGAATTACATAACAGCACAATAGCAGATTGTTTTTGGAATAAATCAAATGGAGGTTAAGCACAATAACTCTGATCTATGTAGCTTCAGCCCAGAGAGACTGAGAATCCATCTACGATGTGGCACAGCCCAAAAGACATGGATCAAATCCACCTTTAAACATCTACAGGAACCGTAAGTGCCAAGAGCATATCAGCGTTTTCCTTGTGAAATCCAAATTAAACAACCATCTGCTGTTTTTAACACCTCATTACATGCACCACAATACCGTATAGAAAAACACCTTACATATACGACATCCAGGAGTACATAATCCTAGAAAGCCAAGTGTTACATGACACCAGGAAGAATCATCACCATCATCATCGCTGTTATTTTCCTACATATGTCATGGTAAAGTCAGCAAGTAATCCACCAATGGCACAATTAACTTCATTAAATGGGCACAATAACAAGCCAAACCTCTGCAGTGCAGTACAGCGCGCAGCCAGGTGCCGTTTTCCTCCTCTCCCCAGCCCCAGAAGGCTAACCATGCTGGGTAACTGATCAACTACAGCTGCCCATTCCCGTTCCCAAGGCTAACAGCAGAGAGAAAAAGATAAACACGAGGAGGCAACAGCCGTCACGCTCCGTACTTACCAGCACTGGCTGAACACAGCAGAGAAACCACCAGCACAATCACCAGCGTCAAGATCTTCACATTCATTTCTGCTCTCCCCTCCGTTTCCCTGCCAGTTGCTAGCTGATATACTGTAGTGGTGTGTGTGTGTGGATGGGAGGGAGAGGAGAGTGGGTGAGCGAGAGTGAGAGAGAGAGAAAGGGAGAGAGACTGTTTGCTCTTCGGTGCGTGCGTGTGTCTGTGTGTGTGTGTGTGTGTGTGCGCGGCTGCGTGCGTGTGTGGCTGTGAATGTGTTTGTATATCTGTGTGCAAGTGTGTGACAGCGCCGCTGAGATTGAGGGCAGGTTTCTGTCTGAGTTATCCTGCCGTAATGTGCAAATTTCCCTTTGTGAATTGGAAGTCCAGTAGAATGAGTGTAAAAAGAGTCGGTTTGTATCAGGGCGGTTTGCCTTGAATTAGGAGCCCAAGTCCCTCGTGTTGCTTATGTATCCCTGACTCTGGGGGTCACGGAAAAGGGGGCTTCCTCCCCCTCGGTATTAACCCTCCCACTGAGAGAGAGAGAGGAAGAGGGTAGCTATGATATTAGTCAAACAGATACCCTTCTTAGAATTGTTTAAGTTGTGCGTGTCCGGAAACAACATCACATGAAGTAAAGATGGTTTTCTTCTCTCAAACATCTCATATATAGGTAGATGAGTTGAACAGACCAACACAGTTCACTTCCATATCCTTGGTGGCACTTTTTTTTTTTGGTCCATTTTGTGTGTCCCAGAGAAAGACTTATCAGGTCCTCTGTTGTTTTGTTTGATTTGCTGATTCTGAGTCATTTGTTTTGCTCTGTGTATAGATTTCCATTCTCTGCAAGAACAAAAGGTTTGATGAAAATCTGAGCGGAGGTACATTTGGTACTGCATGAATTTTCGTCCAATAAACAGGAAGGGTTTCATTTCTCATGCTGAATGGTGAGTGATATGAAAAAGCCTTGAAGCAGTAAAACGTTTTAATATATATATTTCCATGAATTATATGGATGTAAAGTTGATGTATATTGTAATTTCATTCCATTTATTTTGTTTTTTGCTTTAAATATTTGTTTTCATTTGTATTTGTATTTACAAACTTTGGTAACATTAATCTAGCTCAATTTAAACTGTTTATGACCCACCCTCTTCGTTTTCAATGCCTAAATGAACGTTCCCATAATCGAGTCACTAAGAGAATTAAATACAAGTGTAGCTAGAGGCCAAGAGACTGTGGCAGTTGAGGACGGATGGTCGTATTATGTGCTGTAATGTTGTCAGTATTGTTCTAATCAAGATGCCTGCCATATGGTTTTGTTACAAAAATATCTTCTCATTACTTCACTAGCTCAGTGCGGCGTTCTGTCTTTCAAGACTAATGATTCAAAATACTTTGTGTTAAAAAATATTTTCATAAAACAATTATTGCCACTGTTAAATGGCAGTTTCCAAGGGTCTAAAGAAGCAGTAGTCTAAAATCCACTGACACCCATTCAGTAAGTATACTAAACAAAATGAAGTGGCTGCTTGAGTCACTGAGCATTCATAACCTGAATTTTGCCTCATTTATATTCTGATTTCTGGGACCGTGGCTCCATGTGCCATTGTTTTCTGTGGTCATCCGTCCCAGGCAAGCATGTCCGTAGCACCCTCTTCAGACCTTACAACAGGAGCACCTTCCATTTTAGCATGGTCCACTTGAAGCCTTCACTCTTTGTGAAGTAATCCTTTGTCTGGTAATGTCCAATGCAAAGTCTGAAGGTGCTTATCCTCCACCGACCTAATTTTAGCTTGGAGATAATTTGTTGAAGAACACTGTCCAGCTTTTTTGCATGGCTGGTATCTGCTAAAACATGCCTGACTCGATTTAGTTGTTTTCCCGAGAGGATTAATGCAACAGTTAACACACAGTAAACATAAATTTAAATTAGTTTATAGAATGCAACTAAACCGTAATTTCCAGTAGAGTATGAATGGCATGTTGTAATGCACTCAAGAAAGATGCATAAGAGCATTTGTGACTTAGAAAGGGTTTAAAGTCTCCCTAAAATTGCACCAAATTACCTTTAATCCTCTTTGGGTGTTTTAAGTACCTTGCATATGGGCATTTAAGTTTCTGCTTCTTCCATTTTAAATTCAGAGCTGCAAATTTTTCCTTATGGTTGTTAGACATGTTCATAACTGATGCACCTGGCATATCTGACCTCACAGGAAGTACTTGGATGTTTACAGGAAGTGCCTTAAGAGTAAAGGAATGCCATGCATTTCACATGCCAATCCCATTCATCATCCGAAACCCTTCCTGATTTACCGTTGTATTAATAGTGAGGAATGTGTGTCCTCACCGCAAGTAAACTTAATTCAACCTGGATCATAGAAAACAAAGCTGTCCCCCACTCATGTTTAGTGATATCTGTCAATACGGAAAAATCAACAGGTGTTTTTTCATCCGAAGCTATAAAAGGCAGCTTATCACATAAAATGTTTACTTTATTATTTGCCTCCATTCATGATTAATGTTCTTCCTGTTTGTTATCCGTCTCTTAATTGTTTCTGTGTTTGGTACACTGTACCTGAATAAATGTGGGCGGATGTTTGTTAGTGTTGTTGAGTGATCTGGTTTAAAATAGTCAGGGCTACTGAATCACGCCATCATATAGTGAGTATTGTTTTCAAGGCCTGTAAACATTGAAAGCCAAGAACTAGTTAAATGATATGGTAGTTTATGCCCACTGTAATGTTTAACTATTTTTGGCAACAACAGGCTTAATTAGTGAAATATTGAAAAATACACACATTGCCGTTATCACACTTCAGGTCAGTGGATTAAACTTTCATCCCATAATCATGTCTCCAGCCATGTCTTTTCAGTTGAGACAATCATGCCATTTCTACCACTCTCGTATATTGTAGGTAACGGATTGAATTTGTTCCAGTAATTTACTTTACTAATGTGCAATTTGTTTTTGTCTCTTTTTTCCTGGAGCCTTGAGTTGCTTTCGTGGAAATTTATTGCAAAGGATTTGTGGCTATGCAGACAGTTGTTAATTTCTAGCTCATTATTTACCCTGGACCAGCCAATTATCTCCAGTGAACACTGGCTCTAGTGTTGCGTGACTCAGCAGCTGCTGTCTCCGTAATCCAGGTTATCCGGCCCATCAGCGAGAGAGCGCTAACTTGGCTAACATGGGATGACAGTTTAGGGTCACTGTCAATTCAATAGAGCAGATTTCAAATGCTTTTCACTTTATAGACAATATAAGGAATTCAAAAATCTCAGGTATTTTTACCTTTGCATAGACTTAATAGTACAGATTGACTTTTTATTTTATTTTAGGTAACACTTTATTTTACAGTGTCCTTGTAACACGTTACTATAGAAATAACTATAGATTATGCATAATTACATGCAACTAACCCTACAACAAACCTAATCCTAATCCTTCCAAAACCCTATAGTAAGTACACAATTAATATTACTCGGTACTTAAATGTATAATTACACTGTAACAAGGGCCTTAAAATAAAGTGTAACCTTATTTTGTTTACCTTTGCATGGTTACTGAGTTACATTGTGTTGATTTGTAATAGTACAGATCAACATTTGATCAATATTTTATTTTGCTTTATTTTATTTTCATCTTTGCGTGCATATTGAGTTGCAGTGTTGATCTGTACCATTTTCTTTTAATAACTCAGATCTACATTTATTTTATTTTATTGCTCTTGTACAGACAGTACGTAATGCAGTTAGAGACATGTTACAGGAAAAAAACTATAGTCTTTTTGCATAATCAATGAGCTGTCTTGCGTTTAAACAAAGAGATGTCTTTATACAGTCTTAAGCCCACATACTCCTTGTCATAGATTTACTCCAGAAACCTTAAAAAAACAAACTCACAACAGCTTTGACAGTGCAGCCAGTATCTAATCAGAGATGTGCATCTCTGGGATAGTTTCACAGGTGCCAGATAATGCAAGCGCTGATTTTGAAGTCACCCGGCTGTCTCTGTCTCAAAGGCTCTGATGAATACATCTCGGGGATCCTTTATAGCCGTGTGCTTAGTGGACTTTTGTGTTCTCTGGAGATACATGCCAACTTTTCTCATGGTCCTTTGGACTTCTAATGGTGCTGTTGTTCTTCTATATGCACTCCTTCCAGAGCCTTCCTTCCTTTAGCAGTGTTTTTTCATCTCTGCTTTCTCTCCTGTCTCTATCATGTAAAAAAGAAACGGATTTAAAAGAAGAGATATGCTGTTCATCCAGATCCGGAGTTCATTTATTGTAGCAGTAAGATGAAAAGAAGTCAAAACAAATTGAGAGGTCGCAGAGAAAGCCATAGCAGAGTGCGTTCCCTTTTCCTCCCTGATGATATTCTGCTTATCGGAATTTCGATCAGTTCACACCATCGCACGCAGTTTAGAAACGGCCGGCTTGGTTTGAATGGATGGTGGTTGTAAGTTCTCGAAGTTGGAAAGTAGAGTGTCAGCCTGGCTGGGGATCAGAGTCTGTGGAACTGATGCAAGCCTAGAGATAAGAGACTGTTTTCAGGAAGAGCGGCACGCGGGCATTTGGTGTTCCTGAACGGGACTTTGAAGTCGGACAATGCCCACTCCTCCACAATCTCTAATGATCTTCATCTTTATGAATGATCTGCAAATGACCAAGCAATCCTTCCTTGAAAATTTCTCCTGTTTACAGTTTCTACTGCCAGGCTAATCTTAAATCCCGTTAATGTTAAATAACCGATATTCCAGGTGTTATGTGCCTCGTGTTTAGTCTGGAATGTGTCTTAAAATGTGAGGTTACAGTCAGGGGGCACAAAAAATTGCAACTGTTGCACAGTTGTTAAACGACAAAGGAAAGTGCTAATTATGCTAAAAAGAGTGTTACAGCATGTTGAAGATTTTCATCTTCTGATAATTTTCCTGTCCTCATTAGTGGTCTGCATCATTAACATCAGTTAAACGTCTGCCGTTCTCTCCTCTGTGTATTGCAGCGGCGGTCTGCCAGCACAGGGGACTTTTGCAGGAAAATTACAGTCATTTTCATGAAGAGGTCATTATTTGCTCTGATGCAATCAGGCCAAGGTGAACAAAAGACAAGGAGAGGAGTCAATAAAGAAATGGATGTATCAAGTGCAGTTACATCAGTAGCATGTTTTTACCCTACATTCGCCATGGCCAAGCTGATGGATTACTCTTTCACTCACTGCCCTCAAAGTCATTTTCAGAAGCTCAGTCTGTTTTTTTTCTGGAGGTTACACACTTATTTAGAAAAGAAGGGAAGAATGTGAGGTGTGGAAATGTGGTGGATGCCGCCTTTTGGCTTTGAGTGAATAGGAACTAAAAAGCCTCCATTAAAGCTATGGTGGAGTGGCAGTGTTTTGAACCCCGTCTTTGTTTCTGATATCTGTGAAATTCGCCTTTGATGCGCTGACACCTTCCCTGTTATGAATTCTCTTTGCTCTGTCTGTGAAGAATAGCATAACAATTCACACTTCACCGTGTAAAGTTGCCTTAGTGCACAGAGCCATAAATATCATTTATTTTGTGTCACGCATAAAGTCAAAAGCAATAGCCTAGTTCTTGAGGTGCTTTTACCCCAGCTGTGTATTGTTATCAGCTGGAATGGGCAAAAAAAGGCTAATGACCCGTACTACTTAATGACCAGCTCAGAGGCCGCCGAATCCATATCATAAATCGTTCCTGTGGGTCGTGCCTTGGTTTCCACCTGTAAGGGGGAGTGCAAGTTCAGGTCATTTTTCAACATGTGATCAGGGACTCATTAGCAGCGGTTTTGTTCTGCTCTCATAGCGATGGAGAATGGTATGATATTAAATCGTTTTCCTATTGTACAGGGCTCTAATTAGCTAGGTCATTCGGGAACCTTAAGTGGTGGATTTTGTATAACGAAACATGGAAATTTTAAATAATCTTCATTTTAATGTATCCCCGGTGTCCCGTTCCCATGTTTAGCTAACATAACAACTCATGTGGAATTTCGAAATAGTTTGAGTTGTATTTGGGAACTTTTTGTCAGATATAAGGGACAAAGATAAAGGTTAAAATAAAAGGAGCAAAGGGGTTTCGAAAGAAACCGTGAAAAGGAACAGGATCTAGCGGTGGATGTGTTGTCCTTTGTGTGTTTGGCATGTTGGCAGCACTTGATAAATGGACTGTTCTGGAGGAATCCATTCACCCTTCACAGTGCCACTGACCCTTCTCTGTTACGTAGCAACTAGACCTTCAGTGGAGGAATCAGTATAGTCCGCATAGCTCAAACCTAGAGGAATATGTTTAAATCTCTTATGTCTTTTGACATGCATTTGTGTGTATATATAAATATAGTTTGCAGGATAGCATTTGTCTGGCTGTTTGCTATATCCACCAAACTTTTAATTTATTCTTTTTTTCTCATGTTCAGGTTGAATTCATGCAATAGTCTGAAGAATTGTTTTTTGTTTTGTTTTTGAGTGATACCTGTGATTCGAAGGGGGAGACTTAAATTGTTTGCTTCACATTGTGCACATTTTTCAATTTCACACAAGTCAGCACACAACTCAAGACTACTGACCAGCATTTCAAAATAGTACAGAGAAATCTTTCATCTGTCGTGTGCTAAGACACTTTTTGTTATCTGTGATTTTCTATCTTGAGTACTTTTCACAGCTGTCAGCTAAAGGATCGAATATGAAAAAATTTTATGATGTGCACTCATAAAAAAACTGCATGAAATTGCTTTTCACATCCATTTAACCTTATATATGTTAAAATGTAATTTATTTATTTGATGGCAAAGATGAATTTTCAGCTGCCATTACTCAAGTCTTCAGTGTCACAATATCCTAATATGCTGATTTGATGCTCAAGAAACATTTTTTTATTATCAGCAATCAGGGGTGTAGGTTTGATTTTTACATTGGTGGGTACATAAAAGCAGACCCCATTATTTATAGATATTGTAGCCAACACTCATTGGCATAAAAAACTCTCTTTATGAGTTATATGTTAAATAGACAATAATTACACAATTTTGATTATGTAAACCATTACAATTTAGCTTTCTGTACTTCGTGATAAATTATGTAATGCTATAAGTTAAAGGTAACTAATGAGGACGAAGAGGCAGTTTAGAAGGGAATGGCTTAATAATGTCACTGTACATTTTAATATTAAAAATGAATTGGATACCGATGATGATTCTGAAAGGAATCGATTTTGATCAATTTAATGCATCCTTGCTAAGTAAAAGTTTTAAATTCTTTTTTAAAACAATTAACTGACCCAACTGTATAAACTCTGGAATCAAGAAATGGTTAATGTATTGTATTTCCCCAACCAAGAAGTGATTTCAGATTCAGATGTGAAGAATGTTACTACATTTTTATAAAAGATTTTGGAAATTAAATTTACATTTCCTTTACAATAACTTGCACTAATGAAATAAGACATTTATTAAGACATTAAATATTTAATTTTGACCTTCACATTTGAGTCTGCATTTGTAAGAGGTTGAGAGCAGTATTGTTTTAGTATAGTTTGGGACACCATTTTAATGTGGTCACATTAAACATGATTATGCATCTCGGACCAAAACTATGAATTCAGGCCCCCACACCCACTGAGCCCTTTGTACTGTGATTTTTAGTACTGATGTAAGGGAACGCCTAAGATCCTTCAGATTAATGACAGACACATGGACACTCATGCAAGGGTGTGACCCAACTGAATATGTTAATATTTCTTACGCAATGTGTGTGTGATTATTTTCTGTTGGTGTTCATGCTGTCTGATAATCTCCCTGCATTGAATTTCAGACATAAAGGTCATGTCTCATTTCGCCTCAGGCCAAGATGACCCGTTCTCCTCTGATTCAGCACATTGCAGAAGTGGCACTCCGCCATCGGATCAGCGGATCATAACACACAGTTTGTCCACTCGTAGCCTGCAAATGAACTTCAGTGTTCGGTTTAGTTTGGATCAATGAGCTGTTCCTAACTGTCCCATTCCAGCTCAAATGCAGTTGAAGATTTGAGCTCAGGGACAGAAAAGCAGGCAAGTTTAAGTAAGGGATGTGCACTGGATGAATCATTACGCCAGTCAGCCATGAGCTGATTGATTATGTCCTTAAGCTTTTCTAAAGCATTGTGGACCTGGACACTGACCCTACTGACAACCAGACCTGACCCAGAAGCATCTGACTGAGGGAAGGGTTACATAGCACACTACACTATCCAGTACAGGACAGTAGTGAGTGCTGAGTGGCTCAAAAATAGAAGCACATTCCCAACTCGGATCATCACATTAAGAGCTGCCAAAACAGTCTGAGCCAACGGGAGGTACTATCAGAGTATCATCATCTTAGCCTGGCTATGAGTGCCAAATATGTCATATAAAGCTTCTCAACGATTAGACAAGGGTTTTTTTTCTCACCTAATGGAGTTTGGGTTCCTGAATTGTGCTGGATGACGACACTATTGTCTTCTATTGGGCTGCATTATTGCTGAAGCCAATTATTTTTTTCAGCCAACACTGTTATTAAACTAAATTGAATTAACATTGGACTGACACTATTGTTTTATGTAGAACTGCTTATAGCTAAATTGAACTTGTTTCGTAATTGATAAACTTTACGCAGTTATTGAATTAAACTGAATCAACACTGAGCTGACTTGAGCTGAATAATTAATTACAGTATTGGCTTTACAGCCAATTTGAGATTTGGCTTTACAGCCAATTTACAGAATTTGAATTTGTCTCATATTTGTTCAAGTTTGTGTCATTGATTCTGTTATTTTCCTGTTTATTACTGTAAAGCTGTTTGAAAAGTGCTCTATAAATAAAGGTAACTTGACTTGACATCACAATGTTTTCTGGGTCTGGTAAGGAAGAATTTGGCTGGCTTTCACAAAAACCATCCCTGAACTACAGTGAACACCTCTGGGATGAATTGGACCACTGACTCTGAGCCAGGCCTCATCACCCAATATCACTGGTTGACCTCACTGATGGTCATGGGTCTGAATGTGAGTAAATCCCTCAAGCCATTGTCAACTCTAGTGAAAAACATTCCCAAGAGAGTGAGCTATTATATGAGCAAAGGGATCCTTGATGAGTGCTTCAGGTACCCTTCAGTGGACGGTCACAAAGGGATTTTTATTTTGTCGTACATGAGAATTTCTTGTTTGTTTAGATGTCAAGAATGGACTAGGAAACTTTCAGCTGACGTTGATTAGAGATGGCACAAATATATGAAATATCTTGACAAGAGACTTCTCCCAGTATTGCTAACAGTTGGTAAATTGAATTATTTGAGAGAGAATCCATTTATATATGATGATAATTTATTTCCATGTATCAGCACATCTTTTGCACCTCATATACTACCCTCACATAACAGGATAAATAAACCTACACATAATTTCAAACAGTAAATTATAAGGTTTATGAATATGTATTTTAATGTGTACCTTGCTTGCGTCTGAGTACTCTCAAGGGTTTTCCCTCTTCACCTGAACTTCTTATGCAGTTTTTTTTTCCTTTCCATGAACACTTTGAAGAAAAAGTCTAATTTCAGACAGGTTCTTTTTACTTGCTTCATTTAGAAAAAGATTAATTATGTTTTTCTCCATTGTGCAGATGAGCAGAGTGACATTGTGCAGATATTGCAAGAGATATAGCTGAGGATCATCACCACCATCACTCATGAGAAACAGGCTGGTTTAAATCTGTTGTGTGTTGTAATACTTCTTATGTGTGTATATGTGCGTACGCAGAGTCTGTCCTCTTCATTTTTTGCACATAATTATATAAAAAAGATATTAGGAAATTCCTATTTATAATGATGTGACATAATATATAAATGGCAACTTAAAGGGAGAGTCCACCCAACAAATATTCTCTAATCATTTACTCACCCTCACGTTGTTCTAAATATGACTTAATTTCTTCTGCGGAACCCAAAATATATATTTTTAAGAATGTCGGGAAGCAAACAACATTGGAACCCATTGGCGTCCATTAAATAAAATATTTCTCAAAATATCTTCTTTTATGTTCCACAGATGAAAGTCATAGAGGTTTGGAATAACATGGTGGGTGAGTAAATGATGACAGCAGTTTCATAATTGGTTGAGCTATCCCTTTAATTTTGATCAGCAATCATTTGTGAACCTTTGGCGGCCAAGCGAAACAAACAGGCAAAAAAGCACTATATCCAGAATAGCTGTTTTGAGAGCAATGTTCCTGAGATAGTAAATTAGATCCCATATGCAAGTGCTTAGGGGTAGAAAAGGAGAGAAAAATAGTGTTGGCCATCTGTGTGCTATTTAGATTGATCCCAGCAGCCATGGCTGTTTAATTCAAAAACTGTCAGGGAGTGTCATTAGGTGTGGCCATTTTCAGGCTTCAGATTTCATTAGCCACAGGAAGGCCCACATTACCCTCAGGATTAATGTCAAGCCTCCCGATACAGCTCTGGAGCTGTGGAGTGCTTAGAGGAACATCCCTGACCTTTTTGCGTAAATACACTGTGATTCATTAAAGATTATGTAGACCACGGGAAAACTCTTAAACAGTTGAGGAGTTATACACATTTTGGCCTGTAAAGTTATCCTTGCTACTCTGGGAAAATAAAATTGGTTCCTGAAGCCTAAGTTTTATTTATTTATTTTTTAAAAAGTCCAACGTTGTGTGAACCACAATGTTCTTCAAAATATCTTCTTTTGTCTTCCACAGATGAAAGAAAGTCATACATGTTTGGGACGACATGGGGTAAGTAAATGTTTGGGTGAACTATCTCTTTAAAAAAAATCCAAAACATCCTGCTTTTTTTTTCTTTGTTGTTTTCTCATTCAAAATTGCATCATGAGTTAAAACCGCAACAGCCTAGGTGATAGTGTCTTTGGCCTTCCTTCCTTCCTTCCTTTTTTCTCCTAAAGCCTCTTTCTTGCAGTTATCAGAAGGAAGGAGCAGTTGCTACGTCAAGGCCAAAGCCAACAGCGAGCATGATAACTCAGTGAGGATGAGAGGAGTCATCACTTTTCCTGTTTTAATTAGTCACATCAGCTTCTCAACTGGCAATCATGTCATCTGCTTCCTTCCAGGCGTTGATTATAAACTGAGGACTGCGTCACACAGACCACACTGGTAAGATATGCTGTGTTTTTAAGGCGAAATACAGGTTTTTTTTGCTCCAAGTGAAAGATATTTCACAGAACCCAGAATATGATAAATTCAGAAGTGCAATATTCTGACAGCTGCAATAATGGAATACAATTTTCACACGGGGCCCAATTGAGACATAATCAAGCCCTTGCTCGCTAACCTAGGCTCAACATGTTGATGTTTCTAGAAGCTTGCTGAATTATAAACCTGCTTCCACTCATGGGGTTTTGATTTTTACCTGATTCAGGAGGTTGTTAAATGTGCACGATCATGGAGTCATTTATCACACGCTCACTGTGCACCGCTCACAGTCCCAGAACACAGTTCCAGGTGCACTGGTACTGCACACAAATCAGGGAATGGTCACAACTACATGCGATTCAGAGCAGTCTGGATGTCATAAAGAATATGCATCATACCCCCGTTTTAAGGTCAAATATATGCAAGGTCTGAAAAGATCTGTTTTGCCTTCTGCTCCACTGTAGTTGTGTGCATTAACCTCACCCAGGATCTGAAAACCGTCAAGAGTATGACCAATATAGGGAGAAGACCTTTTGAACTGTGAATTTTCCTTTTTTTTAGTAATTTAAAACTTCAGAAGACTTCTTGACAGGTTTTAAATAGAACTCAAGACAAAGCTGAAGAGATCTGTCTATGTTCAGGTTCAGTCTCAAATGTGAGTGCATGTAGTGTACAAATTGTGTAAGAGGTCTTGTGCAAATCAATTTCTTTAGTGTAGCGTATCGCATACCGATTTGTAAAGAATTGAACTGTTCCAGTCTCAATTACTCACCCTCAAGCCTTCTTAGGTGTATATGACTGACTTACTTTCAGCCAAACACAATTGGAGTTATATTTAAAAATATCCTGGCTCTTCCAAGCTTTAAAATGGGAGTGAACAGTAACTGAGATTTTGAAGTCCAAAAAGCACATCCTTCCATCATAAAAGTAATCCAATCAGCTCCAGGGGGTTAATTGTGTTTGGCTGAAAGAAAAAAGTCATATACACCTTGAATGACCTGCGGGTGAGTAAATTATGGGATATTTTTTGTGTGAACTAGCCCTTTAACAGTTGCAATAATGATTCTTTTAAAGCTTGTATAAGGAAAAGGAGGAAAAAGGAAATTAAAAATAAATATGCTATATAAAAATAATAAACAAATTCCAAATTAATTTATTTTTTTAAATACAACTGAAGAAAACATATTTTCTTATGTCTATGTCTATCTTTACACATTACTTCTACTACTACACATTGTCATATAAACAGCCAGCGCTGATTTAAGTCTCATGACATGTATGAAAGCAAGGCCGCCAGGGACAGACTTGCCGTGTTTTCAATGGCATCTGCAGTAAGCTATATGAAGCTCTTAGATCACTTATAATTTTCCACAGCTCATGTTGTCTTGAGTTTTTATGTCTACTGAAATTTCTTGCAAGTGTTTTGTCAGCAGAACAATCCAAAAACACATTAAATAACAGTAAAACCCACTGAAGAGATGTCTATCCCTCACAGCCGCGCTTTCATTCCCGTTAAAAATCAAAGATGGCGCTGCTGTGAATAAGGTCAAGTCACCTTTATTTATATAGCGCTTTTTACAATACAGAAATGTTTTTACAATGTTTCAAAGCAGCTTTACAGAGATTACAGGAAAATAGTGCAACAAAGTTTGTTTCTAGAAGAAAATAGCGTCACAGTCCAGCTTAAGTAAGTTCAGTGATGGTTTATTTTTGATGTAAACATTTTATTAATTTAGTTTATTTAAGGCCTATACGAGTCATTTTCTGTGTCCAAAATCACATACTATATAGTATGTGGTAAATTTATCGGACATACTACATCCGCTATGTTGTCACTGTCATGTGACCTATGGTGTCAGTCGTGTTGCTTCGCTGTCATTCACAAATCCTCTCCTGTGGCCTCCTGGGAGAGTAAAGTCTCCAGTGGATGCACACTTCAGAATCTTGATGGTAGTAGTAGATCAGTAGATAGTAGACTTTCCATCTACTGTTTTGTGAATACTATGATTTCTGACATACTACTCATCTCACATACTGTTTTTGCCTAGTATATAGTGTGGAAGCAGGCATATTCAGATACAGGGATTCAATCAGGAATTGGGAAACACTAGTTATGCTGGACGTTTGACCTGCATAGTCATCCATTTAGGAACCGGTTCTGATTAAGAAAGGTAAAATACATTTTTTTTCTCGCAATAAACATTTTTTCACATAAAGAAATGAATAGTACTTTTAAAAAATGTTTAAATTCATCTTTATTTTCATGTGATGAATACTCCAGTCAAGTCGCCTCATGCATATTAAGATCATATCACCAGCATAATACAACTCATCCACCTTCTCTCAATTCAAACACTGACTTTTATTAATCTGAGTGATGTTCTGTGAGCATCTCTGCCCCTGAATGAATTACCCACATGCTCCTTGAATCCTGTATTGGTATTATCAGTTTGTCATAGGTCACGCTTCCTGATGCTATTTTGAGATGCTGTCAACAAGTGTTGTTCTACATCCTGTGGTGGAAAAAGTCTGATGATGACTATAGTTAATGCTGAGCAGCTTATTGAGTTTCCCCCAGGAAACCTCCCCCGTGAATCACTAAAAGCTGTGCTGAAGGCAGTCACTGTGGAGACTTCAATTACTGGCGTGTCCCAGTCGGCTGATTCCTAACTGTGGCCAGCAAATTAGAAAAAGGTGGAGGGAGGCAGAGAGAGAGTAAGAAAAACTTAAAAATCATTTGGAGAAGGATGGTTTAAAATTTGGATACAGAGGAACGACAGGATACTAAAGGGGACCAGTCACAAGAGTTTCACCAAGTGAAACGTTTCTGGTTAGAAGTGGAGAGGTAACCTTTTGTTCACATGTTGGTTATAGGCCAGACGTCTGCACCATAGGATTCAGTTCATAATCCTGCGTATGACTGATTTATGGCTCACATTATCAACTGTTGACTAAAGTCCCCATCTGAGTCTTTTTCGAGACAGGTCTGTGAAAATGCAGACAATAATGTCCTACATATTTTCTAATTTAGGGCAGGACACTTCATTATCGGTGTAATTGTGTGGTTTTTAAAGATGATTAGGGAGGGTTCATTGTGGCAGTAGGTTATTAGATCTTCACAGTACGTGCAGCAGTGTGGCCAGAATGGGCTTGTTCACAGATATGTAGACATGTAGAAGCTCATGTGTTCAATTCTAACTGTAAAGAAGAAATGAGAATTTACAAGTAAAGTTCACTACTGTTCAAAAGTGTGATGTCATTAAAACATTTTTTTTTAAAGTTCTTTTGATATATGTATATTAAGTAACACAACTGATTTCAACAGTAATAATAATAAGAAATGTTCCTTGTGTAGCAAATCAGCATATTAGAATGATTTCTGAAGGATCATGTGACACTGAAGACTGGAGTAATCACAGGAATAGATTACATTTTAAAATATATTCACATAGAAACCAGTTATTTTTAATAATTACAATATTTCACAATATCTGTTTTTAATGTATGTAGTTTTGATCTATAAATATCTTGGTGAGCATAAAAAAAATTCTGACCCCAAATGTTTGAATGGTATAGGGTATATATTACATGTTTCCTAACATTATATGTATTTATGTCTTCCACAGAAGAAAGAAAGTCACTCAGGTTTGGAACGACATAATGGTGAGTGTATGGTGACAGAATGTTTAATTTTTAGGTGAACGGTTCCTTTAAAGATGTGTGGGTCAGTTGTTGGAGTCATCACTGCTTATGAAGATGATTTGCAAGAGTTTCAGCTTTTATTAGTTTTAAATAAAGCCTAAAGCCTGTATTCCAAATCAAATCATTTTCCATAATCTGGTTTATCTCTTTCAAATTTGTTTAAAATTCCATGTTTTATCCTTTTGTGATTTATATTTGGACTCATCCGCTTTTCATATAGGCATTTATGGCTGACTAGTTTGAGAATACCACTTATTTTAATGCAGTCTCAACTAAAACAGCACATCTAGCTATTTATAGTCAACGTGTCATAGTTTGTGCTATTCAGGATACAGTTTTTCTATTTTTAACATCTTTTAACACCTCCACAGATTTTAATTTTCCCCAGTGCCCATGCTGAGACATGAGAGCACTATTTACCTTTAGATGACTGTATAGGCCGGAATATGTGGTGTTTCTTTTTCAATGTCCTCTTACAGAACACAAGAATCCTAGCTGACTTAATCCTAGCAGATTGGTTTTTAGTGCCTCTTTCACTGTCGGTTGTGGAAACTTGAAGGCGGCGGCTACACATGGCTGCCTCTGTGAACCCACAGCACTCCTCCGTCTGGATGGGAGGATTTGGGGTAAAATGCTGTAGTGACTAGCAGTGGCATGTTAGCCCATTGATGGCCAGCAGTTACTTACCTGCACTAGAAGAATGCGAGATTCTTACAGCACAAGGTAATCAGGACTTCCACCCCCTTCGAAACACTCGTCAGTCTGACCCTCACGATCAGCCCGGTGCAGCCGCACATCTGGTGCAGATGTAGCAGTCTCTCTCTCACTGGATCAGGGGAGCTGGATGTCTGCCAAGCAGTGAATGTGCTTCCTGGTGTCTGTGGCCAGTAGAGAGAGTAAACACACACAGGTACTAGAACTTGAGCCAAAAGCCATCAGCACCCCAACTGCAAGAGGCCAGGCCTCAGTGATGTGGGTGATCACTTCAAACAGAATATAAAGAATGTTTAAAACACATGGCATTCAATCACAGGCGTTTGTGACCAGGTGCAGAGAGGTGTGCAATATTACAGCCCAATGCCAAAACGCTGATTAAACCTTTGGAACATGTCAAAGATCATAAGCATAATGCATAAGACAGATTTGCAAATCAAAGTCAACTGAGGTCAAGCTCATGTCACCTTTGAAATGTTTTTCCTCACTGAGTTGCATTGCAGTGCAGTGAGGTATTTCTTTAACGTCACTCAGGTGTAGAGTAATGCAATATATAGGCCTAGTTTCACAAACAGGTCTTAGATTAAGCCAGGATTAGGCCTTAGTTTAATTAGGACATTTAAGTAGTTTTTATAAACGTGCCTTAGAAAAAAAACATTACTGTGCATATTGAGACAAAACAATGGCACTGACATATTTTAAGATTATTTTATAACTTATGTTATTTAAGATAAGATAAGTTATAACCGCTCAAAAATGCATTTTAGTCTGGGACTAGCTTAAGCCTTGTCTGTGAAACCGGGGGAATATAATTAAATATTTCATGTAATGTAAAAATGTGTCACTGTTATTTACTGTCGTTATGGCTTTTACACACACACACACACACATATACATACATATCCAAATCAAACTCTACATTTTACATATTTATCAAACTCTATATTTAAAACAACAAAAAATAAAACTATATATTATTATAAAAAAAAATTTAAATCTAGAATTAATACATACAATTATACTACTTAATTATTTATTTTTTTCAATTGGTTAAAACAAGTTTTGAAGATATTTTTTTTTTTTTTACTCAAAAAAATTAAAATAAATAAATATACAAGCTAAAATAAATGTTTCCTTCTACACTTTGATTCATGTAATTCTTTCGCTGACCTTCTCTTTTCTCCTCCTTCCTCCAAAACAGCCTGAAGATATGTGATATTTTGTCCTTTTACCCTGGCAGACATCACAGAGGAGACAGATGTGATGGCTGTTTCAGAAGATCAGAGAGTGAGAAGCCCAAAACGCTGCTCCACAAGCTCCAAAGCTCAACGGGGATCTCCTCATATGTCTACATGAAAAACCAAACTGGCTGGTGAGCGTTGGTCTTTGTGATTCAGTCTGTTAGATTCTGAGATGCCCCATGCCTGCAAAAGATCAAATCATTTTCTCCCGACCAGATTAGACATGTCAGCAGGGGGTATGAAACATGCTCACAAGCTTATATTAAAATGCCTTCATCCTCTCAGACAAGCCTCTATGAATGGAAGAACACTGACTCTTAAAATATTAACCAGTGGCAAAATATCTCAGAAGAACTAATAAAGAATTTGCTGGAGGATTTTCTTCCTTTTAGGAAAAAATTTGTTTGTATGCTATTTTAGGCCACTTCTAGTACTGAACTTGATGCGGTGAAGAATAGATCTTCTCAGATGTTGTACTGTATTAGTTCGAGAGAGGATTACTGCTTAAATATGTTTGAGTATGTGCCCCGTTTAATCTAGCTGAGAAGAGCAAATGAGTCCTGACCATTGGTCCCACTTAGATGGCTAATTGCCTAAATCTGATTGGTGTGAACATGCTGCGTGCCATTCATCTGAAACGGCCTCGTCCTGGCCTAAAAGGTGAGGCCCGGTTCAACCTTCATTCACTTAACACGTTTTGTGTAGCTATCCAGATACAAACCAAAGCCTTGTTGAAACATCACAGCATATGTTGGATAATGAGACTCAGCTGTCCCGTCGGTTTCTCTGACATACCCTTCTTAATCTCATGATGGCTCTGAGGATAATGGGGGTATTTCGCTGGAGATACAGACAGACAGATAGCAGGCACTGTCGCAGGATAACGCTAGCCAGCGAAGTTAATGCTCGGGGCGGGTTCCTCCGCATTTGCCTGCCATCTGCCGCTCAGGCAGAAGTCCAGCAGTACGACAGGGCGTCCACCTGGGAATGTAGTTGCATGCACCATCATTCTCTATATGTCTGTAGATTCTCACCACTGCCCCCTAGTTAGATCTTGAATTTGGAGCAGGGATGTGCAAATATTTGATGCCTTGACAAAGTCAAGTCACATTTGTTTATATACTGTAGCACTTTATATATTACAGATTCTATATACAGCTTCACCATAATAAACAAGAAAATAACAGTGGTAATGTTGCTAAATTAAAGTTTAGCTGTAAAGGAGCTCTACAGAAGGCAATCGTGTCATTATTTAGCTCAAGTTGGTTCAGAACTGCCTTGAGATTTTGGAATAGGGATACAATGTTCGGCATACGCGGGAATTTCAAAGCAGTGGTGGAACGCTGGTTTGTTTTGTTGTGGTTGGTACAAATCTTTGGTTTTGTTGTGTTTGACATCAGAAAAAAAGGAACTGTCCTTAATATACTTCTGTGGTTTTGACATAAAAACTTTATTGAAAAATATCGCCAGGACGTAGCCTGCCATGCAAAAATGTATGTTCTGTAATCACTTTTAATCACGATTACTCATCATATCATTCCAAACCTGTATGACTTTCTTCTGCGAAACACAAAAGAAGATATTTTGATAAATGTTGGGAACCAGACAGTTTTGGTGACCATTGACTTTCATTATATGGACAGAAGCATTGACACATTTCTCAACATTTTTATATTAGGTGTCCTTAACTACTATGTACTTACATAAAACAATAAATACAATGTAGTTATTGTGTTAATGTTGTATTGGAAAACACAAAACGCTGCTAATGAGATGGGATATGGGTACGGTAAGACACGTTTTGGTGGTGGAATGAGGGCTAAGGATTAATTACAGCTGTAGGTATTTTTAAAAGTTATAAGTACATTGTAAAAACATGTATGTACACAATAATTGCATTGTATCAAATTATTCATTTAAATGTTAGTACATAGTAGTTAAAGGCACCTAATATAAAGTGGGACCCAAAATATTATCTTTAATGTTCCACAGAAGAAAAAAAGTCAGGTTTGGACCAACATGAGGGTGAGTAAATTATAACAGATTTTCCATTTTGGGGTGAAATATTCCTTCTGGTTATTATTCTGGTTTATTCTGGTTACTGGTTGGACTATTCTGGTTTCTTCAGAAACTTCTTTAAAAATGTTAAAACCATAGCATGAAAATTTAGCAGTTTGGATCTCTTATGTTACAGAATACAATTTTGGAAATGTAGTGAAGATGTGTGATGGGCAAAGTTATTTGCTATCTAGTTGAATTTCCTAGATCTGCTCTTAATTTCCTGTCAGCACCCTGCCTTTCTCTCTGATGATTGGACACGGGATTGATTGGCTATGTAGAACTCTGCCACTGTCAGTTCCTCAGCAGTGTATATAATATTGGCACATAACTTGCAAACATCAGAAGAATATTATGAGAGTCAATGGGGTCCCTTAACGCAGCCTCAATACAAGCTCACCAAAGTTTCTCTTGGATCTGAGATGAGGAGGGGGGGAGGCGTCATAAATCACTTTGTCAGGCACAGGGTCTTTAGCCTGAGGTCTCCCCTCAGCCATGCACCATCACTTTGTATGTTGCTGTTTTCCTCCAGGAGGCTGCTAGTGTGTTCCTGAAAGCATTGCATGTTCCAGATGATCTTGCGTGGGAAGCTGACTGTCAAAAACCCTCCATGAACTGGGTGGCTATGTCTTCATGACTGAGCATGTGTTAGCGTATTAGACCTGCCTAACGGGTTTAGATGCTGTATGTACACTTTTTAATGTTATTATAGAATATTTTTTCTGGGAAAAAACACATTTCAGAAGTGACGTTTATATCAAGCTGCGGTTTAGTTGACATCGCTTTATAGTCTAAACAATAGCAGCCACACACAATAAGTATGAGCATGCATATTTGCGATTACTCTTAAGTCAGCATCTCTCTGACTCTGTTGGACAGAGCTGCATTGCAATATCTTTTGAATAGGGCTATAAATTGATTAAAAAGTTTACCGGTAATTTAATTAATTACTTAAAATGCCTATTCATTTAAATGATTTATGTCTTTTTGTTTTTCAGTGTTTTTTGCCATAAGCACTTTATTTAAAACATTGTTAAAGTATAAAATATTTGGCCATTGGCCCTGCTCCAATGGTAGAAATTTCTCAAAATGTATGTTGAGGGGGCATAATTAATTGATTATGAAAAAATGATAATCACAGTATAATAATTATTTTGTGTGTTTTTAAAAATCATTGAAAATACCTTTTTAAAAAGCACTATAAATTAAAAAATACATCGATAAATACTTTTTATATTATACATCATAATACATTTTTTGTTAAGATTTATTAAAGGAAGCATGATTGATTTATAATCAATAAATTGCTAAATGTAAATTTTAGAAATTATAATTGATAATTTTTTGTTATTTTCTAAAGGAGATAATTGAGTATAAGTTTAATAAGTTTAATTAGTGTTTTATTTATTTTTACTTGTGTTACATTTTGTAAATATTAAAATATAAATTTATTATTTATGAATAAGTGAGTATTTATTAATGTTTAACATGTTAAATTGACAGCCTTACTTTTGGAAATGATTAATATACATGCAACTTTTTGCAAATGTCTGTCTCAGTCTGACCTAGGGCCAGACTTTTTAGGTGAGAAAGTGCAGCTGGTCTCAAGTTTTTTAAGCAAGTTGGTGTTGATTGACAGGCAAACTTTCTGCCCCTTTCCAGTCAGGGTTCAATGCGGATGTCTGGTTAATGAGGTTGACTTCAAGGATTATAATCAGAGGGGGGATATTACTGACCATATGTGTCAGCGCAGATGAGCGAACCTCCCAGGCTCGAGGTGTCAAAAGGATATTTTTTGTTTCCTCTCAGTTCTTATTTACCATAGAGCTATACAGATCTGCGTCACTGCCCCCCTGGGGTGACTTAAACAGCCTAACGTCTATGACAGATAAGTTATGCTAAACAGATTATTCATGTTTGCAAGACCTTCGAGGCACAGCATGGCCCTTCTGGAGAACCAGATCATCATATCTTTGCTTTCAGCATCCATGGCAAGGCCAGAAAATTTATTGTAATAGGTTCATAAAGGGCATAACTCAACTAACAAATCTAAGGTGCATCTCTCCACTGGGATAATTAAAGGAATAATTTACTCAAAAATGTAATTTCAAACCCATATAACTTTAATAGTTTATGGGTGAACTGTTCCTTTAAATTGCCATTTTTGTGCTCTGATTACATTTGTCTGTGGGTATGTTCACCTATTACACTTTGAACAAAACATTTGATGAGAAAACCAGAGAGAAACAGAAATGTGAAAAGTAAAAAATAAAAAGGCGCCCTCAGAAGCGCACTGTGACATATGGAAGCTATCACAGGGCTATGCTCCCATCTGTGTCCACAGCCGCGGCTCGCTGGCACCCAAAAGCCACTGCGCAGGATGGGAGTAATCCATGGAAGAGGATCCATGGGATTGTGATGGGACTCAAAGTTCCCTGGAGACAGAGATTAAGAGGGGAAGAGGTAGATGGATTATACTGGCGTTGGGTGAAGTGCAGATGTTCAGAGCTATTTACAGAAAACAGGTGCCCAGGCACTGAGAAAGGTTCAGCAAGGTCTTGCTTTTTGTCTGTCATGAATACTCCTCATATGATGTTAGTGCCAAATATTGTGTTTGGAAATGTTGCAACACATTGGCGCTGTATGTGTACAGTGCAATTCAATTGGCTGTCTGTTCCAAAAAAAAAATTCAGCCCTTATGTTTAAGTAAGGGAGTCATCCTAAAGGAATGAGTTAAAACCACACAAATATGAACAGAATCCACGTAATTTAAGATTCCCATGACTAAAACTTTGGGGAGTGCTTTATATTCCTGCAGGTTTAATCACAGTCTAACATTGCATTTCACCTCTTTACCATATTTGGTTCCTTTGTTGTTAAGAAATGAAATATGACTAGCGATACAGGGAACATCCTGTTTAATGCAACATAACTTTGAGAATTCCATGCCCAGTTTCTAAATGCTCTTGAAGGCACCGTTTAAGTGTTTGGTTCATGTGCGGTTTTGCTCTACTTGTCTGGTGCTCCGTGAGTCATTGGGATGTCGAGTGCCCCTGTCTCAACCTCTTTTCCTGCCCTGTTACTCACTGGACCACTTCAAGTTTTCTCGGAGTGAAAAATTTATTGCAGGTTGGTAAATTTTTTATGGCTCCATTTCAGTGGACCTTTGATGGCGTGCTGCGTTCTGTATCAACCCGGCGGCGACCAGCCCTTAACATTCTCACAAGCAGTCCCGTGAGGCCGTCTGACGCACACGCACCGAGTGAGCGCTGTCCTGTCTGATAAATACCTGCGGACCAGACCTCAGTGATTTACTGCATGTCAAGAGTTAAGCTACTCTGGAACCAATGGCCCTACCAGACAAGAGGAAGTTTGTCGTTCTGAACACACCACACACTACAAATGATCTCTAAAGGAGAATGTATTCTGTTCTGTTTTGGGCGCCCTTTTGGATGACCTCCCGTCTGAACATCTTTTCTCTCTAACTCACGACAGCAGAACATTTATCTCTGTCTATGATGTAGGGGAGACCGGGGATGGCTGTAACACTTGCTTTGAACGATTTTTTATTTTTTTGCACTATTTATCTCAAACTATATATAATTTTGCCACATTTGTCTGCTAAACATTAATTTATTTTAGAATCTACGACTCGTTCCTAAACTGCGCATTTAGAGTCAAGTACAAAAACTGATGTTGTTACAACCTACAGTACCCTGTAACACTATTAGAAAACATGGAGATGCATTTATAAAAAAAAAAATCAGAACAATTTTTATATCTTTTTTTAACTCCACCCAATTTCAATTTTAAAGGGATACTCCACCGTTTTTTCATATTAAACTATGTTATTCCCTTAACTAAGACGAGTTGATGCATTCAGTGCGTGCACTAAATCGCTCTGTCTTGCGGCGAAACTTTGATAGCACTTAGCTTAGCCCAGTTCATTCATTAGGATCCAAGCAGAGAAGTGACCAAACACCTCCACATTTTCCCTATTTAAATACAGTTACATGAGTAGTGTAACTCGACCAAGAATGGTGACACAAAATAAAACGTTGCGCTTTTCTTAGCGTGTAAAGTGGATAACTATAATGTATGGCGGAATACCACAGCAAGTGCTTGGGAGCACTTCGACTCGGCGCAGTAATATCATCCCTCCGGAGAGGGAGAGTGGGGAGAGGATTTTTCACGAGTGATGATATTACTGCGCCAAGTCGAAGTGCTCCCAAGCACTTGCTATGGTATTCCGCCATACATTATAGTACAAAAACATACAAATTGCTCTCACACACACAACTGAAATGCTCTCACACACACAACTGAAATGCTTGCATACAATATACTGAAATGCTTCTCAGTTGTGTTTGTAAAAGCATTTCACTTGTATGTGTGAGCATTTCAGTTGTGTGTGTGAGAACATTTCAGTTGTATGTGTTTGAGCATTTCAGTTGTGTGTGAGCGTAATATTTTCAGTTGTATGTATTGAGAGCGTTTCAGTTGTGTTTGTAAAAGCATTTCACTATTTTCACGTGTGTGAGCATTTCAGTTGTGTGTGTGTGAGCATATTTTCAGTTGCATGTATGAGAGCATTTCAGTTGTGTGTGTGTGAGCGTTTCAATTGTGTATGTGTGTGAGTGTTTCACTTGTGTGTGTGTGAGCGTAATATTGCAGTTGTATGAGAGCATTTCAGTTGTGTGTGTGTGTGTGTGAGCATTTCAGTTGTGTGTGTGAGCGTAAAATTTTCAGTTGTATGTATGAGAGCGTTTCAGTTGTGTTTGTAAAAGCATTTCACTTGTATGTGTGAGCATTTCACTATAGCATGTGAATTAATTTGGTTTCATAAGTGTATGTGAGAGGAAAAGTACATATGCATGGTAATTCTGAATAATGTCCCTAAGGGCACCTCATATTAAATGACTGAATTTTCATTTTTGGATGAACTAATTGTTTAATATTCATTAACTTAAACATGAACCAAATGCAGAATTTATTTCTTTTTTTCTATTAAATAAAAAGGTTTAAATTTTTCTATTTCTATTTAAAGGTGACATATTATGCCCCTTTTCACAAGATGTAATATAAATCTACGGTGTCCCCAGAATGTGTCTGTGAAATTTCAGCTCAAAATACCCCCCAGATCATTTATTTTAGCTTGTCAAAGTTGCCCCTTTTTGTGTGCAAGCAAAAAAATTGTTGTGTGTGTCCCTTTAAATGCAAATGAGCTGCTGCTTCCCGCCCGTTCAGAAGATGGCCGATTCTTTACACGAGCTTCGGATACTCGCAATAACAAAGCACTTTTGACACTTTTAGAGCAATTTTCTGCTCTATAAACCATTCATATTTGTAGATTTACAGAGGATGGAAGTCATGTACAACACTACAAAAGTTTGGGTCAGTAAGATCTTCTTTTTTTTCAAAGAAATTAATACTTTTATTCAGCAAGGTTAGGCTAATTCATTAAATTTATCCGAAGTGACCTTAAAGATATTTGCAGTGTTACAATATATTTCTGTTACAAATAAATGCTGTTGCTTTGAACTTTCTATTTATCAAAACCTGGAAAAAAAGAAATTAAGCAGCACAAATGTTTTCAATATTGTTGATAATAATAAGAAATGTTTATGTGTGTGTCAGTGTGTGTGTGTATACTGGTATTTCTATAGTAGCCTTCAAGTATAGAAATACCAGTAAAGTTTGATCTTGTGGGGAGATTTCTTTGGTCCCCGTGAGAAAACAATCTTGTAAATCATACAGAATTATCTGGAATTATTTGAAAAATCTAAAATAGTATAAAGGTTTCTGTGATAGGTTAGTGTATTAGTGTAGTAGGGGGATAGAATATACAGTTTGTACAGTAAAAAAATATTGTGTCTTTGGAATGTCCCCATAAAACATGGAAACCTAATGTGTGTGTGTGTTTGACCTAAACTCGTAGACCTCCCCTAAGGCTACACTGCATGGGCCCCTGTGTTAACACCTCTCAGGGGTGGACACACCTGTCATTGATTAGCATGAGTGTGTAACCAATGCGGTATGCCTTCCCTCATAAAACAATACATCCAATTTCAGCTTTGCTACAAGCTGACCCAATGTATATACTTATTTTAAACATAAGTACCACCATACCAACTTGTAGTTTTCCTCCCTGAAGCCACGGAAATTCTATTGGCTGTAAAGCAGTTTGTTGTGTGTGTGAGTGCATGTATGTGCTTATAGAGGCCCCACTAATGTGGCTCATATAACATGCAACATGATGATGGTAAACCTTCCTTTCTGCACTATATTTGTTGTTGCAGCTCTTGTCTGAGACCACATCCCTCAACTACAGCGCTCTGCATCGACAGTGCATGTAAAAAAAGAACAGCTGCTCCTTTTCGCACCATGCTTTGAATGTATGCACCAGTCCCCGGCCCGCAAAGTAGATCCCCATGTCAAAACCTCAGGAAGATGCCGGTCCCACAGGAACCGGACTGACCACCGCCATCTGCACTTGACGAGCAGGCCAGCTTCTTTTCTTATCGTCAGGAAGTTGTGAGGTGGGAGGTATTTCTGTTTGTTTGTTTTGCAAACGTATTTGTTTCCGCTAATGCAAACAATTAGGTGACATCCTATGACAGAACGAGCACTGGTCCGGCTGCAGATGGACATGGTGCTCTACAGTAATGGGCTCATCAATCAACACAGTCTGATGAAACACTGTGACAACTTGGCAGAGGCTTCACCGGTGACTAAGGTGACCACGTTCAAGGTTGACATTTTGGACAACAAAGAGGAAGCTGAGATGCTTTAATACTTCAACAGATCTTTTCCCATAACATGATGGTAACAAAGCAGCAGAAACACAAATATGGCTAATTAATCTCATAGACATGGATTATTTTGGGGGAGGGGAGGGAATATACTTTTTAGCATTATTTTAATATATATATATATATATAAATATATATTTTAAATAAAGCCTAAATGTTTCAATTTAATATGATTTAATTAATTATTATATATAAAATATATAATAATGTAAACAATTACACAACCATTCAGAGGATTGGGGCTGGTAATATTTTTTAATGTTTTTGTGTCCTATGCTCACCAAGGCTGCATTTATTTTATCAAATAAAAAAATATATATTGTTGAATATTATTACAAATTTAAAAAGCTTTTTTCTCTTTTTAGTTTTAAAATTGGATTTATTCCTGTGATGTAAAGCTGAATTTTCAGCTGCCATTTCTCCCGTCTTCAGTGTCACATGATCCTTCAGAAATCATTCTAATATACTGATTTGGTGATCAAGGTTTCCACAATTTTATTATGGCAGCCATAATACTTTTTTTTTTTTTTCAGGATTCTTTGATGAATAGAAAGTTGAAAAGAACTTTTCATTTAAAAAAAATCTTACTGACCCCAAACTTTTGAACAGTAGTGTATATAATTTAAATATTTATGTTCATTTATAACTATATTCATATTTTGAAGCCTATTATAAATTATATAGACAACGTGTTTTGTTTATAGAGATATCTCACTATCTATTGTGTATTTATGACATATCAGCATAAACCGAGCAGTTAATAAAATCATTTCTTTCTTTACAATGCATCAAACTCCAAAATTTCAGTTCCTTTTGGACTGAGTGAAAAGTTGGCTGCCCACTGTAGTGTTTGTTATTGTTAATCAGCACCTTGAGGTCCAAAGTCCAATATTCAAACCATGCTGTTTTCCTGGAGTTTACTCTGTCTACCAGCAAAACTTTTTCAAACTCTTGGCCAAAAAACACATAGGTGCTCCATTAATAATTATTTTTTTGGTTAACAGTAGAAAGAACAGTGTACATGCGGTGTTTACCTCCTGTGGCATAAAGCTTTGATTTGAATGAGTTTGCTGTTTCCCACTCAGAATAAACCCATTCAATACATTTACAGAAATATATTGTAAATCTGAAATCTTTTCTGCTGTCATCACAGCCATTTATGCATGCTGTGGGCTTATTTGTTTGGCCCAGTGTCATATGCCTTCTGAGAAAGCATTCATGCAGAGAAAGAACCAATTATGTGTAATTTGTGCTTTTAAGCCCATCTCCCATAATCACCATGGTGATATTTTAAATGTGATTAAACACACAGGAGTACTTCCGTGCACAAATGTTTCTTCATCTTCACAGAACTGGAACAGATTAGCTGTTTTATTTTTATTTTAAAGACAGCTGGACGGAGCACATCAGAATAGAACAGAAGCATGGAGTCTTGATATACATTTTCTAACTACTTTTAACTTGACACATGGTCTAAAACTCATGGCGTGAGATGCTGTAAAACAGTGACACACAACAGACAAAGACATCCATCTAGATGAGTACATAGACACAATTAAAACATAGCACACAGAACAGTCTAACTCAGACAGATATGATATGGAACTATAAATTAAACAAAATGAATCACCTAAAATGTTCTAAAACTGCCTCTGTTTTTTGTTGTGCAATAATATAATGTCTTTGAATTATCTTTCTTTTTTTCCAGCAAATATTCAAGTGTTTAAATGTGGTTCTTTTTATTAATTTAATGATTTAATGAGGTTTAGGTGCTTTTATGAATATATATTCATAAATATAACGTACATGAAACTTATGAGTATTGAAATACTGTATATGCATATAAATATATGAGTGTGTGTTTAGAGAGACTGTGTAAATCAGTCATTTATTCTGTCAATCTCACCTACATTGTTATTTTCTTTTTTTCTGTCTGTTTCTCAAGGACACCACCATAAAAGGCCTCTTAGACTAATACAGTTATCTGTTTATCTGAAGCAGATGAAAAACTTCCTCTGAATGAATATACACAATATCTTGGCACACCAGTCAGGATCCAGCACAGAGGAGCCTATCTTTAACATCACAGGCATGTAAGTATGCATCCTCCTGAATTCCAGTCCCTTTGTTTTTAGATGTAAGGGAAGAGCAGTAATGAGTCTTCTGTTGACTTGACATCCTTGGAAAGTCCGCCTGGACCGCACACCTGCTGTCCATCCAGACCTGTGGAATCTCTGTATGGATACAGAGGATGCAAGATCTGGAAAGTATGCCGGCGGCCGAAGACCCTTAAGGTAGCACAGCGTGCGTCGAGGAAATGGCCAGGAATGTCAATGCAACCATTCCTTCCATATCCTCCGTCGCAGCATTGTTTGAATGGCCGTGCCGTTAATCATTAATATAAACACCTGTAAACTTAATATAATTAACCGGGCCTTTTGTTGAGGGTTTTTCCCTTGTTTTGACGGGACATTCAAAGCAGGAGATCAAGAGGTCTTTCTCTTCCATGATAACCGGAGTGTAACAGTCATGGGTGGTTTTGGTTTATGTATTAATTCGTTGCGGTCAGCAGACAGTGTGCTGTGAAGGGTAGTGTCACCGGGTGCACTGGCAGCTTGACAAGTGACAGAGGCCAGACTGAATGTCCTTGACAGTAGCATAACGCTGCCAGGAGTGCTTCAGTCGCAGCAGAATGCATAATTGGTGACACGATGAGCAAAGAGGACACTTGACAGAAGTCCTGGGCTGGAGCGAGAAAGGCTTTACAATCTCAAAGATGTCTGATCAGCACATGGTTGAATGAAACTTGGTTTTTGGTTTCTCGGTTCAAAGTGCAGTCTGTAATGGCTGTCAGTTATACGCCATTCATGTGTTACCTTTTTAAAGAATTAGTTTACTTCAAAAAAATCCAGAAACGTAATCACTATACAATACAATACGTAGTCACCCACCCTTTAGTGGACTGTGAAACCGTTCACAAATCATACAAACCACTGGTATGATGTTGCAGTCTGTCCTTTATGGAGTTTGAAAGCTTCTTGGAAGTTTAAGAATGACGTTATGATGACAGAATATTTCATTTTGGTATCAACTGTCCTTCTAAACTACAATACATCCAAATATATTATCAAGAATTCAGACTTCTAGACTGAAATGGTTTTCATACAAAACAAACCGAACATATACATACGGAATTGCCAACTCATAAAATAGTTGTGTTTTGTTATGAGATAAGATTTAAAAATATATATTTGTAATAAAACGAAATATTTTTTGTTTTATTTATTTGTTTTTGAAATTTTATTTTTGAAAATAGATAGTGAAGGACAAGCAACCATTAAGTGGGCAGCATGAAACTCTTAATACAGTTTAAAAAGCATCCCAGCCCAGGTGGGTTTACTGCATATGTCCCATACTTCCATTTGTGTTACCTCATAGATTTGAATGAGGAGGTCTGTGCAAACTTATGTCTGCAGTGTAAACTATGATGTGAAATTGTTCTCACATATTTTTTCCACTCTTGTCACACATTCTTTTTCTTGTGTTCTTCTTGTGAGTCTTTCTGTTCAGGCTCCAGTGTTTTATGAACTGTTACCTCACTTTTATGTTTTAAGAGCAGAAGAACACATTTTTCTTCTCATGATTCTCATGTGTTAACGTTCTGCATTTTATTAATACTTTTTTCTCTGTTCATAATTTGTGTTTTGAATCTGATGTGATTATGAGAAAGAGGCCGAATGTGGCTCCCATGAGAAAGAGATGAAACATGGATCAATTCAGTGACAGTCCCAAACTCATCTTTTTGATAAAGTGCTCCATTATCCTTCATAAGTCCAGCTGCAAGGATTTCATGTCATAAACACTGCAGAGTCATTGCAGTTAGCGTCAGTGCACGGCTGAGAAAAAAATAAAAGACCCAGGAACTTATGGGTTGACTTTTTTTAGCCTAAAACATGCGTATTCTGAGCACTCATGATTGCCCATGATATACAATCTTTGTAAACCACTTCTGTCAGTGTGGGGTTTTTTTTCTTTGCTAATCTAAGCACCAGACATCTCTCCCAGCCATTATACCTTGAAGCTTTAGCCAAAAGATCAAGGGGAACCTTTAAGGTCATTTTCGCTCATTTGTTTTGTTTCAGGGCTTATTTCTGTTATTAGGAAGCTCAGATTTGACAACAATAGTTGTAATTCTTCTATATTGATAAACATCTTTAATTATAAAATAAGTTATAATATAATAGCAATATAATAGCAATATGAGTTAAATTGCAGTCTAGATTTTTAATCTGGTCTTCCCACTGTTATTTTAATGATTTGGATGGCTTATAGAAGACTTGCAATTAATTTGATATTATTAGTTTAATTGTGCTGTGCTTTTCATAACCTGTGCCTATGATGAAGGACTGTGTCCATTAATGATCCCCAGTTGTGCTTCATTCCACTTATGTCATTCTTAGGCTTTTGTGCTGTACCTTAATTGCTGTATAGTCATTATGGACTCACAGTTGATCTTATGCATTTGTCATGCTGTAGTGAAATTCTGATTCCAACTGTTTGATGAATATAATACACTCAATT